TCTTGAAGCTTCAGCATCACCTCCTTCACAAGGTCAGAAGAGGGTGAGAAAATGAGGATGTCATCCACATAAACCACCATGAAACTCCTCTGCTCCCCCTCGCCAAGCATGAACAAGGAGTGATCGGCCGTTGAGGGAGTGAAGCCGATCCCCTCCAACACTTCGCGCAGCTTCATGTACCATTGCCTAGGGGCCTGCTTCAGCCCATAGAGGGCCTTCTTCAGCTTCCACACTCTGCCACTACCATCATCAAACCCCTCTGGCTGCGCCATAAAAATCTCCTCCTCAAGGATGCCGTTAAGGAATGCCGTTACGATGTCCATTTGCTTTACTACCCATCCTTTGATGGCGGCTCCCGCGAATAGGGTTCGCAGCGTCGTCGGCTTCACCACAGGGGCAAACAGCTCCTTGAAGTCCACCTTCTCCTTCTGCTGGTACCCCTTGGCTACAAGCCTAGACTTGTAGCGCTCGATCTTGCCGTCGGCATCCGACTTGATTTTGAAGAGCCACTTGGACGTTATCGCCGTACGCCCCTCCGGTAGCTCCACCAATTCAAACGTGTCATTCTCCTCGATGCTCTTCAGCTCACTCTCCATGGCCTTCTTCCACTCCTCAGCATCACTACTCTCCAAAGCCTCCTTGAGAGTTGCTGGTTCTCCCGGCATCTCCACCGGAGAGAAGAACGCGAAGGCACACTCCTCGTAGTCACTCTCCTCGTCGTCTCCGACCATCATTGCCGCTCCGGCCAGGGCTGTCTTGCCCTGCTTTCCCGGCGCATCATAGGTCCACCATCGGGAACCAATCCATCTTCAACGTTTCAGCCACGTCGCTCTTCTTGGCCAGCACGTACACCCAAGTCATGCGGGTGTAGACGTCGACAATGGTGAGAAAATACTCTGCTCCAGCAGCTCCAAGCTTCAGGGGGCCCACCACGTCCATCACCACCTCATCAAGCGGTGCCTTTGCCGTTGCCTCCGAACTAGGGAACAGAAACCGGGTGAACTTGGCTTGAATGCACTTCGGGCAGCCAAGCACCTCATCGGGCTCCCCCTTCACACGTATGCCAGCAACCATCTCATTCTTCACTAGCTGCTGCAAGATGGGCAGGGCCACATGCCCCATGCGCCGATGCAAGGTGAGCCAATCACACTCCCCCGTAGCCGAAGTTGGATTGGAGAATGCCGCGCTCGCAATAGCGCCCCACATACTCTCTCCGTAGTCCTCCTCCGCTGCTGCCTCTGGGTTCTCCGCACCCTTTTGCTGCTCCTTGGTTGCTGCACCACTCTCCTTAGGTTCACTAAACTTGCTGGTCCCTCCAGGTTTGCTCTTCTTGAGCTCATTCTCCTTAGCGCGACCGTTCGCGCCATCGTCGCTACCGACCGCTCCATCCTTGGTGCTGATGCTTGCTGCCACTTGCCTCTCCTTAGGCATAGGGACCACTGGGATCTGCCACATCTCGTTGTAGACATCCCTGTCCTCATGAAGGTCCCAAAGAATTCGATCGCCAAGCCTTGCGGTGTAGGTCTTGGCTCCCTTCGAGTTCGTGTCCATGCCGGCCTTTGCCAACCGCCGCACGGAAATCAGGTTTGCAGCAAGGCTGGGCACCCAAAGCACGTTCTTGAGGCCCACCCGGCGCATCATAGGTCAGCCTATTAGGGGATTGAACTTTCCTCTTCCCCCTTCCTTCCTCCTCAGCTGCAGGGACTTGAAGGCCTTGGCGTTGCTGCGGTGTGGCTCGAATCCGTGGAGCACTCGTAGTACGGGAAGGGAGTGACGGTGCACGCTCGCTCACTTGCTGCACCTCCTCCTCTTCTTCCTCTGCATCATTGGCCTCCTCTCCCCCATTCACAAGGGAGGATTGCCTTGTGGTTGTGCTGCCGCTGCTCAGCTCCAAAGGCAGCTCCACATGCTCCAAACCGGAACTCTTCACCTCCCCAAACCGCACGCCTATCTTCGCCTCATTCTCCGCCTTCCAATCCTTGTACATGAAGTTCTCCATGAACTTGCAGTCCCTGCTCACCAAGAACTTCTTGGTGAATGGGTCCCAAAGAAGCCATCCCTTGCTGTTTTGAGCCATGCCCAAGTGCACGGCCCACACCGCCTTGGCACCAAGCTTGTTGTGCCGAAGATGCTTAGGCACGAGCGCCATGCACATGCACCCGAACACCCGAAGCATATCCACCTTTGGCTTCCTTCCTAGCCACTCCACATAGGGCACCCATTTGTCTGCTCCCACATGAGTCAAGGCTCTGTTCTTGGCCACACACGCGCTCCGCACCGCATCAGGCCAGAAATAGTCGGGTAGCCCGGCTTCAATGAGCAACCCGCGTGCCGCCTCCGTGATTGTGCGGTTCGCTCGCTCGGCGATGCCGTTCATTGCAGGGGAGTATGGCATGGTGAGGGAGTGCCGAATACCATTCTTCTTCAGCCACAACCCAAACTCCTTGCTCAGGAACTCTCCCCCTCGATCGGTGCGGATTGACTTGACTAGACGGTCTTGTTGCCGCTCCACCATCGGGAACCAATCCGTCTTCAACGTTTCAGCCACGTCGCTCTTCTTGGCCAGCACGTACACCCAAGTCATGCGGGTGTAGACGTCGACAATGGTGAGAAAATACTCAGCTCCAGCAGCTCCAAGCTTCAGGGGGCCCACCACGTCCATCACCACCTCATCAAGCGGTGCCTTTGCCGTTGCCTCCGAACTAGGGAACAGAAACCGGGTGAACTTGGCTTGAATGCACTTCGGGCAGCCAAGCACCTCATCGGGCTCCCCCTTCACACGTATGCCAGCAACCATCTCATTCTTCACTAGCTGCTGCAAGATGGGCAGGGCCACATGCCCCATGCGCCGATGCAAGGTGAGCCAATCACACTCCCCCGTAGCCGAAGTTGGATTGGAGAATGCCGCGCTCGCAATAGCGCCCCACATACTCTCTCCGTAGTCCTCCTCCGCTGCTGCCTCTGGGTTCTCCTCACCCTTTTGCTGCTCCTTGGTTGCTGCACCACTCTCCTTAGGTTCACTAAACTTGCTGGTCCCTCCAGGTTTGCTCTTCTTGAGCTCATTCTCCTTAGCGCGACCGTTCGCGCCATCGTCGCTACCGACCGCTCCATCCTTGGTGCTGATGCTTGCTGCCACTTGCCTCTCCTTAGGCATAGGGACCACTGGGATCTGCCACATCTCGTTGTAGACATCCCTGTCCTCATGAAGGTCCCAAAGAATTCGATCGCCAAGCCTTGCGGTGTAGGTCTTGGCTCCCTTCGAGTTCGTGTCCATGCCGGCCTTTGCCAACCGCCGCACGGAAATCAGGTTTGCAGCAAGGCTGGGCACCCAAAGCACGTTCTTGAGGCCCACCATCTTCCCATCAGCACCCTTGAACATGGCCTTGCCCATGCCTTTCACCTCTGCTCGCTGCCCCAAAGCCGATGTGACATGCTTCACCGGTGACGGCTCGAGTTCGGTGAGCAAGTCCGGGCGAGGTGTCATGCTATAGGTAGCACCACTATCAATCACCCAATAGTCCAGGGGGCGTAGGGTCACCTTCCCCACAGCTGCTGGCTCCTCAAAGCCTTCATCCTTCTCTGGACCAGCCGGTACTTGCGTCGACACGAAGTAGAATAGACCCGGGTATCGATCGTCGCTCGGGTCCTTGTCGTTGTCTCCGCTCTTCATGTTTGCAGCTCCGCCACCGCGACCGCCACGGCCTCCACGGCCTCGTCCTCTCCCTCCTCCTGCTCCTCTACCCTCTTGGCCTTGAGCAGGGGTCCAACCATCAGGGAGTTTGTAGCAGTCGCGCCACATGTGTCCGCTCTTGTGGCAATAGTGACACTCGCCGTCGAATCGGCCGCGACCGCGTCCGTAGCTCTTGTCGTCGCTGCCGTAACCGCCACTCCTGCGGCCTCCGCCGAAGTTGCTGCCACCAAACCTTCCTCCCCCTCGTCCTCTGCCTCTTCCTCGACCATATCCACGGCCGATGCTCGCTGCCCCAGCGCCATCCGCACTCGCCAACTCACGGCGGCAGAAATCCTCTTGAATGATAGCTCGCTTCACGTCTTCAAGCGAGAGGCGGGGCAAGTCGCGATTAAGGTTGATGATGAGCGAGGACCATGACTCTGGGAGTAAGGCCAGCAACTTGGTCTTCTTTTGGAGCTCACTGTAGTTCAAATCAGCTCCCTCAAGCCGCGTCAACAAGTCGAAGAATTTCTGCACCCCTTCTTCAACCGCTTCGTCTTCTTCAATTCGTAGTGCCGCCATTTGCCGTTCCAACACCACCGCTACCGCCGCTGTTGCAGGAGCATGTACACCCTTGAGAGCAGCCCATGCCTTTGGTCCTTTCTCTGGTTCACGCTGGAATGGCTTGATGTGACGGATCTGACTGCTCCCCAACGCTTGCCCAAGTAAGAGATAGCCTTGTGCGCTCTTCCGCACCCACGGGCTCTTCTCCGGGTCGTTCTCGGGGCGCTTCTCCGTTCCTTCCATCACCTCCAGCAGGTCATAGTGGTCAAAGATGTTCTCCATCTTGAAGGACCATTCAGCAAAGTTGTCACCGTTGAACTTGTCAAGCCCAAACACCCTAGGCTCATCCCTAGGTGGGCCAAGACTTGGTTGCATGGGCGCCATGGCTGAATCACGGGGTTGGCCTTGAGCTTGAGCTTCTCCACTGCCACCAGCACCTCTGCCACCCCTTTCCTCAGGTCCAGACATTGTCGAAACTGCTCCAAGGGCTCTGATACCACTTGTTATAGTCACAATAGGCTTGAATGTGCCTAAAAACGAAAGATAGAGAGCACAGACGGATTTCTGCACAGCGGCTTCAAACGTTGATAGCGTTCTGCTCACAGCTGCAAATGACTTGATTCAAATTGGATCTGGAGCGTCTTCACGTCGTCTACAATTAGCAATTTAGATTGCACGATTTGATAAAGAATTGACGACACAGCGTCGGTTTGAACGAACGGTACTATGGCAGCCACTATAGTCTTAGAACACAAGATAGGAAGAGTTACGAGTTGGGAATGACTCCCAGCTCCTACAAACCCCAAGAGCCGAGGTACAGTGATGTGGAACAGTGCCACACTGTCCCCAACCACGAAGGGTCTCGAAACTACCCTTCACTAGGGCCTACACCAAGTGAAATGTTACACTACACAAAGTAATGTAACTATCTTCAATATCTTGAGGTGTACCCTTTTTGGCGAGCTTCGAAATCACTTGAGGCTTGACACCAATGCTCGGGCTCTTCATCACAAACTCATCCTTGAGTTCTTGATGGGTCTGCTGCACACACCTGCGACACGCCGAACGTTCGACACAGGACAAAATAGAAACCGCGCACGACAAAATAGAAACCGCGCGCGAGACACAAATGACCGCGTAACACGCGTCTAGCAATAACTCGCTATTGACTCGACACACACACTCGACATCATGACTCAACATTCACACACAATTATAAGCATGAAATATATATTATCCCATGCCCTCATACCATTCCATACACACACACATTCACGCACACGGACAACAAGCCGAGTGCAAACCGTAGGGTTGCACCAACAGACCACAGGGATTTGCCACATCTCGTTGTAGACATCCCTATCCTCGTGAAGGTCCCAAAGAATCCGCTCGCCAAGCCTCGCGGTGTAGGTCTTAGCTCCCTTCGAGCTCGTGTCCATGCCGGCCTTTTGCAACCGCCGCACGGAAATCAGGTTGGCAGCAAGGTTGGGCACCCAAAGCACGTTCTTGAGGCCCACCATCTTCCCATCAGCACCCTTGAACATGGCCTTGTCCATGCCTTTCACCTCTGCTCGCTGCCCCAAAGCCGATGTCACATGCTTCACCGGTGACGGCTCAAGTTCGGTGAGCAAGTCCGCACGAGGTGTCATGCTATAGGTAGCGCCGCTATCGATCACCCAATAGTCCAGGGAGTGTAGGGTGACCTTCCCCACAGCTGCTGGCTCCTCAAAGCTTTCATCATTCTCTGGACCAGCCGGTGCTTGCGTGGACACGAAGAAGAATTGACCCGGGAAGCGATCGTCCCTCGACTCGCTCTCGTTGCCGGCACTCTTCATACTTCCAGCACCACCTCCGCGACCGCCACGGCCTCCACGGCCTCTTCCTCTCCCTCCTCCTGCTCCTCTACCCTCTTGGCCTTGAGCAGGAGTCCATCCATCAGGGAGTTTGTAGCAATCGCGCCACATGTGTCCGCTCTTGTGGCAAAAATGACACTCGCCGTCGAACCGTCCGCGACCGCGTCCGTTGTTCTTGTTGTCATTGCCGTATCCGCTACTCCCGCGGCCTCCGTTGAAGTTGCTGCCTCCAAACCTTCCTCCTCCTCGTCCTCTGCCCTTTCCACGGCCATATCCACGGCCGATGCTTGCTGCCCCGGCGCCATCCGCACTCGCCAACTCACGGCGACGGAAATCCTCTTGAAGGATCGCTCGCTTCACGTCTTCGAGCGAGAGGTGGGGCAAGTCACGATTGAGGTTGATGATGAGAGAGGACCATGACTCTGGGAGTAAGGCCAGCAACTTGGTCTTCTTTTGGAGCTCACTGTAGTTCAAATCAGCTCCCTCAAGCCGCGTCAACAAGTCGAAGAATTTCTGCACCCCTTCTTCAACCGCTTCGTCTTCTTCAATTCGTAGTGCCGCCATTTGCCGTTCCAACACCACCACTACCGCCGCTGTTGCAGGAGCATGTACACCCTTGAGAGCAGCCCATGCCTTTGGTCCCTTCTCTGGTTCACGCTGGAATGGTTTGATGTGACGGATCTGGCTGCTCCCCAACGCTTGCCCAAGTAGGAGATAGCCTTGTGCGCTCTTCCGCACCCACGGGCTCTTCTCCGGGTCGTTCTCGGGGCGCTTCTCCGTTCCTTCCATCACCTCCAGCAGGTCATAGTGGTCAAAGATGTTCTCCATCTTGAAGGACCATTCAGCAAAGTTGTCACCGTTGAACTTGTCAAGCCCAAACACCCTAGGCTCATCCCTAGGTGGGCCAAGACTTGGTTGCATGGGCGCCATGGCTGAATCACGGGGTTGGCCTTGAGCTTGGGCTTCTCCACTGCCATCAGCAACTCTGCCACCCCTTTCCTCAGGTCCATCCATTGTCGAAACTGCTCCAAGGGCCTCTGATACCACTTGTTATAGTCACAATAGCCTTGAATGTGCCTAAAACGAAAGATAGAGTGCACAGACGGATTTCTGCACAGCGGCTTCAAACGTTGATAGCGTTCTGCTCACAGCTGCAAATGACTTGATTCAAATTGGATCTGGAGCGTCTTGACATCGCCTACAATAAGCAAATTAGATTGCACGATTTCATAAAGAATTGACGACATAGCGTCGGTTTGAACGAACGGTACTATGGCAGCCACTATAGTCTTAGAACACAAGATAGGAAGAGTTACGAGTTGGGAATGACTCCCAGCTCCTACAAACCCCAAGAGCCGAGGTACAGTGATGTGGAACAGTGCCACACTGTCCCCAACCACGAAGGGTCTCGAAACTACCCTCCACAAGGGCCTACACCAAGAGAAATGTTACACTACACAAAGTAATGCAACTATTCTCACTATCTTAAAGTTTACCCTTTTGGAGAGCTTCGAAATAACTTGAATCTTGAAACCAAGGCTCTGGTTCTTCAAGGTAAATTCTTCCTTGAGTTCTTGGAAGTCTGCTGCGCACACCTGCGACACGCCGAACGTTCCACACACGACAAAATAGAAAACCGCACACGACACGCAAACGACGACGTGACACGCGACTAGCGATAACTCGCTATTGACTCGACGCACACATTCAAAATCATGCTTCATCATACACACACCATTGTAAACATGAAATATATATTATTTCATGCCCTCATACCATTCCATGCACACACGCATGCACGCACACGGACAACAAGCCGAATGCAAACCGTAGGGTTGCACCAACAAACACTAACGAATCATTTTTTGCTAGCTGCGAATTGACGAAACTTGTACAAAATGCACCAACTTATGCGCCCCCTTCACAAGGCAACGGGGAGTGGCTTAAACGGGCATCATGTGTAGCTGGGAGGTCCGCACTCTGCTCTTGGTTTTCAAGGGGCCTTTGGTGTAAGGAATTTTCCCGAATTCCTTATCGGGGTTGACTGCTATGTCAAATGATATATATGTTTAGGCTGTAGTGGGGTAGCCAATATGGGGTACAGCCCCTTCTAGGGTTTCATATTTGTACCCAACTCTTTCATAGTTCACTCATTCCTGCCTAGTATTATGACATGGTTTCAGAGCAGGAGGTCCCTAGGACCTAACTCTGTGGGCCCACCGTTCTTTCTTTTTTTCCGAGTAGCGCGCTCTACTGTCGCCCCAAGCAGGCCCTGCTGCTGCGTCGCGCCCTGCTGCTGCGTCGCGCCCTGCGGCTGCGTCGCGCCCTGCTGCTGCGTCGCGCCCTGCTGCCGCGTCGCGCCCTGCCGCCGCGTCGCGCCCTGCCGCCGCGTCGCGCCCTGCTGCTACGTCGCGCCCTACTGCCACGTCGCGCCCTGCCGCCGCATCGCGCCCTGCTGCTGTGTTGCCCGCGCTGCTGAGTCGTGCGCGCTGCTGCCCGTGCACCGCACTCTGCCTACCCGTGCGCCGTTTTCTGCCTACCCGCACGTCGTTTTCTGCAGCCCGTGCACCGCTTTTCTGCCTACCCGTGCGCCACTTTCTGCCTACCCGCACGTCGTTTTCTGCAGCCCGAGCACCGCTTTTCTGTCTACCCGTGCGCCACTTTCTGCCTACCCGCACGTTGCTTTCTGCACCCCGTGCACTGCACTCTGCCTACCCGTGCGCCGCTTTCTGCCTACCCGCACGTCGTTTTCTGCAGCCCGTGCACCGCTTTTCTGTCTACCCGTGTGCCACTTTCTGCCTACCCGCACGTTGCTTTCTGCAGCCCGTGCACTGCACTCTGCCTACCCCGCGCCGGGCCCCTGGAGCAGCCGCCCCTGAAGCAGCCGCCCCTGCAGCAGCGACCGTCGCGGCCCTGACCCTGCCCTGCACCAGCCGCCGTCGCGGCCCGGTCCTGCCCTGCACAAACTGCCGCGGAGCTTCACTTCGTACTGCCCTAGAGGTCGCGCTCCTCCTAGCTTGCCCGCCATGACTTCCCTTTGTCGTACCGGTGGGAGTGGTAGCGGCGGTGGTGGCAGCAGTGGGAGTGGTGGAGGCCGTAGTAGTGGTCACTGTGGCGCTGTTTGGTGCGGAGTGTCTGGCGGTGGCCAGATGCAGCTACGGCGGCGTCCGACCCTTACACCCCGGCAGCTTCGTGAGTGGCTGTACCAGCGTGGGCCGTCTCCGAGTCCGGGTCGCTGCCCGTACGTCATTCGCACAGGTCGTCGAGCTGGTGAGATCTGTGGGACGCCTGGTCACGCACAGTCCCACTGCTTCGCCTATTTGACTGACGCCTGGCGCACAGAGTTTGGCGACGAGGCTGAGATCCCCCCCTGGCTTGAGCTGCTTAGGTCGGGCGTTGCTGTCTTTGCTTTAGACTATGACGCCATTCTTACTGCCATGTCTGCTTTGCCTAGTGGTGCTGAGCGTGACTGTCACCTGTGCGTGCCGTACGACCCCGGTATAGAGGTTGTTGCTCTAGGTGCTAGTGAGGCTGCTGCTCTAGGTGCTAGCGAGTCTGCTTCCTCAGGTACTGCGCCTGCTGAGGCCTTGCACACCTTCACACTTGACTCAGGTGCTTCCCGCTGTTTCTTTCGTGACAGTACAGCACTCACAACACTCACTGCACCTGTTGCAGTCTCTTTGGCTGACCCCTCAGGGGGCCCAGTTCTTGCACGGTCCACCACTGTACTTCCGTGCCCGGCGGTTCCGTCTGGCTCACTGACAGGCTTCCACCTCCGCTCGTTCTCTACGAATTTGGTGAGCAACGCAGTTCTCCAGGACCAGTGGGTTGACACCTTTACCCCTGGAGGACAGCGTGTGGCGATCTGTACGTGCTCCCGGACCGGCCGCCACCTGGCCACGTTCACGCGTGCGCCAGGGTCGAGCCTTTACAAACTGACCACTGTGTCTCCCCAGGTCGCTGCTGTCGGTCAGGCGTCTGCGTCAGGTCAGGTAGACTCCCCTTGCTCGTGTCGCTCCCTGTCGCACCAGACCGTTCTCTGGCACCACCGTCTGGGCCACCCCTCCTTGCCCCGTCTTCATGACATGCACCGTCGCGTCCTTGTGTCTGGTCTTCCCCGCACCCTGCCTCGCCTCCCTGCTTCGCCTGCCCCGGCCTGCCTTCCTTGCGTCGAGGGGCGGCAGCGCGCCGCTCCTCACTCCTCCTCGTTTCCTTCGACAGAGGCTCCGCTGCAGACTCTCCACATGGACGTGTGGGGCCCCGCCCGCGTCAGCGGACGGGGTGGAGAGCGGTACTTCCTGCTGGTAGTTGACGACTACTCGCGTTACACCACGGTCTTCCCCTTGCGCACCAAGGGTGAGGTCCCTGCTGTCCTGATCCCTTGGATCCGAGCGGTTCGTCTCCAGCTACGCAGGAGGTTTCAGACCGACCTCCCTGTTCTGCGTCTGCACTCTGACAGGGGCGGAGAGTTCGCCTCCGACCTCTTGCGCGGCTTCTATCAGGAGGAGGGCATCACCCAGTCTTACACGCTTCCGGGCTCACCGCAGCAAAATGGGGTTGCTGAGCACCGCATTGGACTGGTCATGGAGATCGCTCGTACCTCCTTGATCCATGCGGCGGCTCCCCATTTTCTGTGGCCGTTTGCGGTCCGGTACGCCGTACAGCAGCTCAACCTCTGGCCCCGTGTCTCCTTTCCGGAGACCTCGCCCACACTGCGGTGGACGGGGGAGGTTGGCGATGCGTCGGTGTTCCGGGTCTGGGGTGCCCGTGCTCTTGTTTGCGATACGTCCGCGGACAAGCTCTCCTCCCGCACCCTTCCCTGTGTCTTCCTCGGCTTTCCGACTGACGCGCCTGGCTGGCAGTTTTACCACCCCGCCTCGCGCCGTGTCCTGTCTTCTCAGGACGTCACCTTTGACGAGTCAGTCCCTTTCTACCGCCTCTTTCCCTACCGCACTGCCCCTCTCCCTCCCCCGCCGCTCTTCCTCGCTCCAGGTCCCCCTCCGGTAGACCCCCTTCCCCCCCAGGGTTCTGCTCCTTCAGGTGTGTCTCAGGTAGACCCACCTCCCTTAGCTGAGCCTGTCGAGGTCACTAGCGACTCAGGCGCTGCTGAGGGTGGTACTGCTCGAGGTGCTGCGTCTGGAGGTGCTGAGCCACGGCGTGAGGTACTGGAGGGTGCGAGGCCTGGGGGTGCTGGGCCGGTGCGTGAGGTGCTGGAGGGTGCGGGGCCTGGGGGTGCTGAGCCGGTGCGTGAGGTGCTGGAGGGTGCGGAGCCTGGGGGTGCTGTGCCAGTGCGTGAGGTCCTGGAGGGTGCAGAGCCTGGGCGCACTAAGCTGGAGGGTACTGGACCGGTTTCTCGCCGGCCCCTTACGCCAGCGGAGCTGCGAGAGTGGTTTGCGGTTCGTCAGCGACTGCGGAGGCGTCCTGGAGTTGGCAGTACTGCTGCTGGAGCTGGAGACACTCGTGCTGCTGACACCACAGGCCCTGGAGGTGCTCGTACTGGAGGTACTCGAGCTGCCGGGGCCGGTGGTGTTCGAGGAGGTCCTACTGTAGACTCTGGTACTGGAGGTACCGGGTCAGGGGGTGCGGCTGCTGGGAGTACTGGAGCTGGAGACCCTGGAGCTGCTGGTTTTGGTTCTGGTGGTGCTGCTGTTGGTGCTGCTGGTGCTGGAGCTGCTGGAGGTGCTGGACCGGGTTCTCGCCGGCCCCTTACGTCAGCGGAGCTGCGAGAGTGGTTTGCGGTTCGTCAGCGACTGCGGAGGCGTCCTGGAGTTGGCGGTACTGCTGCTGGAGCTGGCGACACTCGTGCTGCTGACACCACAGGCACTGGA